TGTTTTAGTTTTCTTTCCTAATCCATACATCTCTCTTCCTTTCCCTTCCCCTTTGGAAGCCCTTTACTGAGGGCATATCCTGCTAGGAAGGGTACAACCACCCATCAGCAGCACACAGTCCAGATCTGAAATTACACATGGAGGATATGAGGTGATCAACCACTGGAGGAACAAAGAGATTGATGCAGCCACTCACCACACAGGATGAAAACAGGAGCAAACCAACTTAGAAACCAGATGGCCAGCACAATTCCCATCATCAGTGTCATTATTACAGGTGTAATCCTCCTTTGCCCCCAGTTGTGTCAACACCCCACCACCACTGTGCATTCACTGCAGGCAGGACCAGCCTTTATATTGTTAACTCTAGAGGCAGGACACTTGATATCAATGTCAAAGGTGGGGGCACCTGGTGGTGATCTCCTAATTGGTTCCCACCCAAGGTTGTCCAGACCCTGAGTGAAAACCAAGCAGGAGGGTCTTCCCTGCCTGCTTGTGGACATCATCCACATGTCAACCCTCTCTCAGGGCTGGGGGTTTAGACCCCAGCACCTCAGGAAAGCAGAGGGGTTCACAGAGAGCATCTCTTGTGGGTCCAGTGGACAGTCCTGACCCTAACCCATGACACTGGTTCAACAGGCTCACTGCTGCCAACGGGAGGTGCCTGCACTCCCACCAAACCTTGTGCTTTCCTTTCTCTTTTCTGGCTGGCAGACCTTCCAGCCCCAATCAGATGGGTGTCCCTGCACCTTGCTTTCTCAGAGCTGGACAAGCACATTCAACAGCAGACCCTCCTTCTCCTCTGCACTCTTCTGAGAGGGTGGAAAACAGAGGGTGAAACTACGCTGTGCTTCCATTCAGCAACAAAAACTCAGGTTGCCACCAGATCAACCTTAGGTGGAACCACCTACAGAGGGGAAAGGAAGGAGCTGCAGAAGCATGCAAGAAGCTCTTGGTCTGCAGCTCTGGAAGCCTGCTGCTTTCTCCTGTGCTTTCAGAGTTTCCAGGCCCTGTCTCCACTGCAAAGGCATTGTGCAACCTGGGAGTTTTGCAACTGCTGCCGGACTCGGACGCAGAGCTCCGGGCTTCACCCCGTCCCACCATGCCTGGAGCAGCTCTGGCCTCCTGCCCAGCTGCCCTCCCGAGCCCACACCAAGGCCACCTTTACTCCTGGCACACTAAAGCCTGGTTTAAAGTTGCAGCTGAAGCTGTGCAGGGCGGGCTGAGAAAGCAGTTACAGTGATGCAGCAGATGGGAAGGAGCACGTGAGCTTCTGTCGCTTTGGGTGAGTCCATACCCTCAGACTGCTCCACACCCAAACCCATCACTCACAACTGGTCCCTCTCCTGGATCACCATCACTGGTGTACATCCAGGGTGACTCTTTCAGAATTGTCCTGAGAAGACTGGAGGACTCCAGGAATATCTCCTCAAGCCTTGGTTACCACCAGCCAGCACCGTTAAGGCAAAGCTAGAGATGAACCAAGCCTGAACCAAGTTTCAAAGCCTGGGTCTAGGTCAAGTCAAAGACAAGGACAACACAAAAACTGTCACATGAGCTTCAGCCACCCAAATTTAAACCCTATGCTGTAATAGTGTTACATCTAATTATGCCACCATGCCAGAAGAAAGCACCTCAGGCAAGATCACCACGTTACTCCTCTGGGAAAGACTTTGCCCCATTTCAGTGCCAGGAACAGGCCGTGCCTTTGCCAGGAGGGGCTGGGGAAGGCTGTGCCCTGCAGGGTGTTGCTGGATTAAGCCCCTGCGTGGACCAACACCTCCTGGTGAGAGGGAGAATTTAAAAATAATAACCCTAAACCCTCAGCAAACAGTAACAGTTTGAGGGCTCTTCTTTGGAATAAAAGATTAATGGACATATTGATTGACTCAAGGGGCTGGGACAAAGGCTGAGAGACGTGTTTACTTTTTAGCATCTGTCTGTGGACTTACTGTGCTCATGTCAGAGCAAACATTGCGTTAAGGAAGCTTTATGAACTACCACGTGAAGCATGGTTGGGTCATCTCCAGCTCAGCCCACAGATTGTCTGAACACGCTGCCCCCAAAATACATCAGCAGGAGTTACAACAGCTTCACGTTTAGGAGTAGGCCGGGCTGAAGATGTGTTCAGATGCCTCTGCAGAGCTGCTCAGGCTCAGAAATACACGTGGACCTTGGTGTGACGCTTGGGGAAGAAGTTCCCTGAGTATGGGCTCTATAAATCTTGCAGCTCAGAGCAAGGTGTTGTGAATGAGAAACCTCAGCAGCGTGGCAGCTCGGGCACTGCTGAATAGTTTGGCTTCTACCCAAATAGTTTTGGATTTTAACACTTTGTGCTAATACTTGGGGACCCTCCTGGGCAAGAGGTGGGGTGCTACTTCTACTAAGATAAGGACAGCACAAAAAGGCTCAAAGAAACACAAAGGGGTTTTTGAGAAGCGTCCTTCAAGGCTTAAGGTGCTTTGCAGAGCTCCAGTCACTGTCAGTGACTAACCTGCTGCACCCAGAAGAGCTCTCTGCTTACAGATCTTGACATAAACCAAACCCCTTCAGAATCCACCTCCTCCCACTGCCTCCCCAGTGCACAAAGCCTCCGAACCACCAGGCATGGAAAAACCACAAGGAAGAACACCCCAAAAATAATAACAGATCCCTATGTGGCAGAGCAGGCAGCAGTGCCTGCCAGGATGGACACCAGAGCAGGTGGTACAGCAATAAACCCAGGGCTGGGCTTCCTATTGTTGTTGGTTTGAAACACCACCTAAAAAAGAACTTACTACAGGAAAGGAAAAAACCCAGAAGCCTTAAGTGATCTTTTTAAAGCTTTCAGCTACTTAATTGTGGCTTTCCACGTGCTGATGGAGAAGTCCATGCCCTCACCACAAGAAGCCTCTCCTCCCTGAAGAGCTCTCTGCATCCTTTCTATTCAGGGAGATGACAAACATCTTGGAGACAGACCTGAACACCCCAAAGTGAAGGAGGATGTCCTGCTTGAGACGGTGGCAGCCACCCCAGGTGACAGCAAGGTAGGTGTGACAGCCCTCCACTGAGGGAGTGGGTGGGCAGAGGAGCTCCTGAACCCTGCTGAGAAGATGCCTTGCCCCTCTTCTCCCAAGGATGGCTCACAGGCATTGATGGCAGCTTTAAAAACCAGTTACAGCTACACTACATCTCCATGCAAAACCAGTGGTAAATCTCCAGCCACAGTGCTTTGCAGCATCTCCCAGTGTCCAGGCCTTGGGTCGAGCTCTGCACCACCCACTGCTCCCATCAAAGCCTGGCAAGGCCTCCACAGCAGAAGAGCTTCTCAACTCTCCTGGAAAACACTGAACACTGTGCTTCTAAACCCTCTGATCACCACCAGCTTCACACCTCTGCAGACATAAGGCAACATTTCCAGATATGCCTTGAAGATGGTGGATCCCACCCCTGCTTCCAAAGACGATGCCTGTACTTCAGGGCCCTAATCCCATTTCCTCCCAGTAAGTCCTCAGGTCACTCTGGGACTTGCCTCAAGTCCCCTGGCTCACTTTTGGACATGAAGCATCAGCTCCCTGCTTGCTTTAGCAACTCTTGAAATGTGACCTGCAAGTCTACATGGAGCTACATGAAGCCAGAGGGACTCCCGTTGAGAACACATGTATTTTGCTCTCATAGCTTGGCTGTTTTTCCCTCCTCTCCAGCTGCCAGGTCTTTAAAATCCAACAGGACTAGAGGAAAAAAAAATAAAGAAAAAGAAAAGGAAAAAGAAAAAAGGCAGGCAGGAAAGAAAAAAGCAGGTGGGGGAAAGAAAAAAAAGGAAAAAAGTTTTCTATGGCCCGGATGAACCTCATCCCTCTGCTACCCACAGCAAAGCAATACAGGAATATTATTAGAAAATATAGACTAGAAAATAGATATAAAATACAGCAGGAGAAGGGGAGTGGGTACTCACTGGTGCTTGTGCTAGTGCCGATGGTGTTGATGGTGGTGGGGACGGAGGAGGAGGAGTAGAGGGGCAGGTGCCCGTTCTCGCACGCCAGGTTCTTCTCCTGCCAGCTGGGGGCACTGAGGCTGATGCCCGAGTCACGAGAGTTCTGCCAGCCGTTGAGCTTGTCATCTGAGTTCTGTCTTTGGTGATAGTAGTGCCCGTAGTCGGCCGAGTCCGAGCGGCCCCGGTGCTGGCCGCCGAAGCCGCCCGACGTGCGGTCCTCCAGGTGGTTGAGCCACATGGCCAGGGCGCTCCTGTCCTCCAGGGAGGTGGCGGGGTGGATGAGGGCGTAGGAGAGCAGCTGCCTGCTCTCCTCGATGTGTTGGTTGTGTTCGATCGAGTGAGCCAGGATTTTAGGCAAGAGTTTCATGTATTCGACTTTTGCCTCGAGGTTGCCGGGCTTCAGTAAAGGCAGGTGGGTTAGCAAGAGGGAAATCACTTTATCCTTGGATTCCTCCTGCCATTGGTTAATGATTCCTGTTGAAGGAAAAGGGAGAAAGAAGGGAAAAAAAAAAACAGGAGAGGATTGAGAAATTTGCAAACGGAGCTAAGAAAGGATTAAATAGACCCTGGCAGGGCAAACAGAACATGCCAAGGGGATGCCTGTGTGTGTGATGCCACTGCACGGGCATCTCCCAGGCTGGGGGGGTCACCACTCTCCAAAAACCAGGGTCATGGCAAGGTGTGCCACACTGGACACCCAGAGTTCCCAGATGCTCCGAAAATCACTAGAAAAAGCCAAATGACACCCACTGCTACAAGCACGGAGCTCCACTGCTGTTCATCCTAATGTTCATCACAGTCACAGTTTGGCCTAAATTTTCTGTACCGTTGCAGATGACACAAAAAACTTAAACTTTTAAGAGCACTGGTTGGAAAATGGAGAGGATCAAGATTCAAAGGAGCTAGAAGAGGGCAAAGGGAAGAAGCATTCCAGGAAGAGGGTGATGACCAAACCAGGGTGTTGGTCCATCCTCCAACCTGGTGCAATCAAAGGTATGGAGGGAAGGGCTCGGCTGACCAGCCACAGAGCCATTGTTCCCCTGTTAGCTCATGGTAGATAGGAGAGGTTTTAGAAGACCAGGAAAAAAGTCAACATAGGGTTTAGCTTTAAAAACAGGCAAAAGGAAAAGTCTGGGAGTTACAAACCAATCACTTAACTCCAACTCCTGGAAAACTGATGGAACAAATAATGAAACAACCTATTTGTAAGCACTTAGAAGATAACAAGATGATAAGTGACTGCCGACACCCATTTGTCAAGAACAATTTAATTTCCTTCTGAGGGACTGGGCTGTGAATAGCTGGAGGAGCAGTTGGAGCCATAGATCTTGATCCTCATTAGGTGCTCTGCAGATGGCTTCCCCAGCAGCTCACAGGAGAGAGGAGCTCAGGGGAAACTGCTCTCGTGTGGGCACACAACTCATCAGGAAGCCACCCGGAGCGAGTCCTTACTGGTGATTCACCCCTAGACTGGGAGGATGTGCTGAGGAAGGAGACCAGTCTCGGCTGGGCACCACCCAGTATGCTGCTGGGGATGTGAGCGATGGGATGAACGTACTCAACGTGCAGGTTTCGCATGAGGAGAAATGGAAACACTCCAGAAAACTGGACTGGAAGTCAAACAGCATTGACAGCTGGGGAAAAGTTGGGAAAAAAGCAGCTGGATGAAGTAGGGGCAACCACCTGCCTGCTAGTGGGGACCCATGGCCGTGCAGTGCCTGGCACCAGCCAGCCTGCCAGCTGTCTGAGGTGAAGACTGGCATGGATAAACTGCTCTCCATGGCTCCTGGGGACTGTAGTAATAGGTCTGACTTGCAGCAAATGAGAATGAGGTCAGGCATGAAGAAACTACCTCCTACAGGTATGGCTAGTGATGGCCTGGGAGACATTGCCCACAGATGTGAAATCTCCATCACTGGAGGTTCTTCTGACCAGCCAAGGATAGCTCAGGGTCTACCCAGCCCACCTGACTGATGCTTCCCAGCCCCAGGTCTCCTTCAGCCTTTACCAAAACCCTCTATGACCCTTCAAACTTCCAGTCCCTGTAGCAGGCTGTACCTAAAGGTGCAACAGCTGAACCACCTGGTGAAAAAGGACTTCAAAGCAACAGCAAACTTCACCAAGTGAAATGCCCTGAGCTCTCATGTTATTGAAAATATCCCAAAACTTCATGTTCTTCCTCTCTGTCTGGTGTCTCTACTCATACTGCAGAAGAAACTGCTCTAAATCACTGATCATTCCCACATCCTTCACATATTTTTGAGCTGGGGTAACCAAACCCACATTAGTGAAATAAAGATCTCAACATTCATCTGTAGGACCACCCATCAGCCTTGCCCTTGATGATCTTTAAGGTCTTTTCCAAACTATTCTATGACTCTATGCTGTCCGGTAGTTAACCCAACCCTTCCACCACCCCGTGACCCACAAGAGAGCTATTACAGCAGGGCCTTTTTCCCAGTTAGGGCCAAACCCTGCACGTCAGCTCCCCAACACAACTGTGGTGGTGAGCAGCACTCAACCCTCCAGTTTCATCTTCCCAGTTTCAGGGCTTGCAACCATTTTAATAGGAAGCCACTAGATGGCTTGCTGGAAACGCTGACGGCTCTCCCTAGAACTTTCTCCAATGGTATTTATTTCTCCACAGACCCACCCCTCATCCAGAGCCACTGCCCGACCCGGCCAACAGGGATGGCACAGCTTGAGGTGGAGAAGGACCCGCTTTGTCTGCAGCAGAAGCAAGTCTGGGTACTTTGGGTGTGCTCCTGGAGATGCTGTGAGGTTGTTCTGGTGCTCAGAAGTAGCATCTGGAAAACCCACACTCAAGGCAGCTGTGCAAAGTGTGGCAGAACTCAAGGTCTCCCAGAGCACCAGCATTTCCTCCACATGCAGACGTAACTGCTTCAGGCAAAGCCTCCTGTCCTGCTTGACCAGATTTCTCTGTCCCACCTCCCTCCTCACCTCCTGGCCAGCTGCCTGGTGGGTTGAGAACCCATCCTATTCTCCCCCCTCCTCTCGCAGAGGGGTGTCTCCCGTCCCCTCCACGCTCCCACAATTTGTCCCTGCTGTCGGGGAGGGTCAGCAGCACTCCCAGGCTGGCACAGCTGAGCCTCAGCCTGGCACTGCCCGTGGGATTTTGCAGCAGCTTGGATAAACTGAGACATCAAAAGATCATTCAGAAGAGCCACATACTGCTAAAAGGAGTTGCTGCCACTTCTGTGCAGGAACTAGGCAGCAAAATACACACAGAAAAAACAGAGCCCAGAGCAAACTGGCTGCAGGGGAGGAGGAGAAGGATGGGGGAGGCAGGTGGCCATGGCTGGACTCCTCTTCCTCACACGTCCAGGGGCTGGGCTTGAAGGTCACCACTGGAAAGACACAGGCTGGTGCTGGAACCACTCCTCAGGAACCCTGCCTCGGACCTCCAAGAGATTCGTGGGTTTGAAGCCACGACCCCAAAAGATGGAGCACTGATCTGAGTGCTGGTGGCTGGCGAGGGGCTGGGTGTCCTTCCATGCCCTGGCCCAGGCAGGAGCCACTCTCCTTCTCAGCCAGCAGCAGGATGTGCACAATTAAACAGAAATGGAACATAATTAGATCTGAGAGAGGTTTGGCTCTCTCAGAGATGGGGCTGAAGGTCAGGCTTAATCCTATCTGCCAGAAAATAGAGGGATCTGGAGAGGGTGGTGTGGGAGGAGGAAAGCTGGAGCTGCCCATGGGTAGGGGGAGAGGGGTCTGTGAGCCCCCTGAAACCCCTCTCCAGCTTCTCCCTGAACACAGGAGCCCTTGCTTCAGCTCTCTACCTGCTGCCACGGTATCCACACATCTAGGATGTCTCACCCTTTATTGCCAGAAGTCCCCCGGGGTCAGCCGTGGTTGGGATGTGTCCCAGTTTTGGGTTCCCATGTCCCAGGGTCCTGGCAAACTACCTGTGGTGGTGGTGAGGTCACAGCCACTAATCCCATTACAGCCTCATCAGTTCCTCTGGTTGTTAAAGGTTGGACCTGATGATCTTATAAGTCTCCTCCAACCAATCAGGGGTTCTTTCTTTCCCCACAGACCCCCTTTAAATACCTTTTCTGGCCGCAGACCACCAAGACTCAATTCAAGATTTAAAGAACTAGAATATTATTTAAATTTTCTCATGAAGGGTCTTCAAATTTAGAGAGGAGGGGAACTGGTTTCAGAGCACCATCTGTGGATATTTCTACGAGCTTATCCTCCTCTGTGATCCAGGACAAATGGTTCCAGGCTGGACATTCCCCTCCCCTGCTTTAAGCCTTTGCAGACCCCCTGTGATGACACTGCAACCCCACAGGTGTCCATGGACCACAGGCTGAGAATCACTGACCTAAATGATTCTATGATTCAAATGTGTGACCAGCAGGTTGAGGGTGATTCTCTTCACCCTCTACTTGGCCCTAGTGAGGCCACCTCTGAAGGATTGTGGCCAGCTCTGGGATCCTCAGGTCAAGAGAGACAAGAATTACTGGAGAGAGGCCAGTGGAGGCTGTGAAGATGCGGAGGGGGCTGGAGCATCCCTGGAGCCCAGGTCAGGCTGAGAGCCCTTGGGGCTGTTCAGCTGGAGAAGAGAAGCCTCAGAGGGGATCTGATCAATGCTGAGCAAGAGCTAAAGGGCCCCCAGGTGTCAAGAGGATGGGGCCAGACTCTGACTTTCAGTGGTGGCCAGGGACAGGACAAGGGGCAGTGGGCACAAACTGGAACCCAGGAGGTTCCACTTGACCAGGAGGAAAAAATTCTTTGGTGTGAGGGTGTCAGAGCCTGGCCCAGGCTGCCCAGAGAGGTTGTGGAGTCTCCTGCTCTGGAGAGATCCCAAACCCACCTGGACACCACCCTGGGCACCCTGCTGTGGGTGAGCTGCTGGAGCAGGGGGGTTGGATGAGATGATCTCCAGAGGTCCCTCCAACCCCACCATGCTGGGGTTCTGGGATTCTAGGCCTGATGCTTTCCACCACAAGATTTGTGCTGCATTAAGGGATGATGAGACTATTGATATTTGCTGCAGGCAAATCTGAGCATAAAGTCCCAAAGTTAGACACTCCACCTTGAAACTCCCCAGAATCCCTGTCCTGCCTGTTGCTGTCACTGCACTGACATCTCCTTTTGGAAATGAGCCAAAATACCAACTGACCAAGAGCCCCCTGAGGAACCAGCTCCCACCCCAGCCCGGTGACTTCTGTACTGGGAAGGGATGGGATCTGCCAGCACCCCTGAAGCAGAAAATCCCAATTTTTCTTACAGGACTCTTTTTCCTGGGTGGGATGTGAAACTACCTTCAGTGATTCTGCCACCATACAGCACAGCTGCTGCACGTACAGGGTGCCTGAGTACAAACACAGCACCAAACACAGCCAGGTCCTGCTTCCAAGGCTGAAACCTGCTCTGTGCCATGAACAGGTCCAACACTGTCCCCAAACCCTGGGCTGGAAGAGGCAATCTTTGTTAATTTGATA